TGGACTGCCATCTAGTTCTAACCACCTGGACTTGCCTTCTAGCTTCTCCAAAGCCTCGCTTTTGCCTTTTTTTGAGAGTAAGTATCCAGCCATGCTCAGTGCTGAATGCATTTAGCCAAGGAAAGGGGGAAGAGGCTGGGTCTTGGCTTGCGGGCTAGGTCCTGCAAACAATAGCCCGATAATTTTCGGAGTAACCACCAGTTATGCAAGTAGCAAAATAAACAAGGTATTGCATCGCACCTCCCTCCTTTCGAGCAACTTTCTCGGTGCTCTCCTAGGTACACCGTCCACGTCAGTCATCACAACAACTTTGGCTCTGCGAGAAAGTGCCCGCGAGCCAGCCGCACCAGTCATTTGATTCCATAAAGCTGAGAGATTATACTTAGCTAGAGCAGTAGTTTCTACTGGATATGGAGTTTTATTTGTTCAAAACGCAGGAATCAGGGCACATACTTCTGCTGACTATCACTTTATGGAGAACGAAACAGCAAAGCATTGGTCTAAAACAGGTTAGCATGGAAGAAGGTTCAATGTAATGTCACCGTAAACACTTTTACTTGAAGTTGGGGTGGGGGGAGCTTCCGAAAATATACTTTTCCAGATGGTGTTTCTTTAGCTGTTGCACAACTTGATAGTAAAACATTTAAATGGAGTGAGTGCTAGACTCGGACATCGTTCTTAGCCTTTCTGTTGTGGGAAGGTTAGAGATTCTCCCTCCTAAGATAAGAACTTCATCCGTATTATAGAGATCTGTCCCAAACGGTGAAAACTATTTTACAGGCGCAATATAGACTGGTTCACATCCCGTGACCCCGAGTGTAGCGTCTTGGGACTCTCCACTTTGTGGAAAAAGGTAGAGGAGAAGGGGAGAGACCTAGCTTTAGCTTAATCCGAAAGAGTCCACGCAGACAGGGGCAAGGTAAATGCCAATGTCTGCCACTCCAACAGATAGTCAAATGACAAGGTTTATGACGAATTGAAAGTCTCGGGATGTTAAAATGTTTAATTGATAGCTCGACTTACTGTGTTTAGCCACACCAACAGTTTGGCTCCCCCTGTTTATGTAGATTACTGAAGTGCTTTCTTCACAGTGCTCAATTTGTCAAGAAGGAATTGAGATACTACAAATACCATTCAAAAGCCATCAGCAACTAGAGATTTTTATAGTTTCTGATGGGAAAATACCAGTTGACCTAGCATATATACATGTCTCTTAGACCAATAAATTCTAGAAGTTTGATAAGTAGGCCTGAAAAATGCATCATAGACCTACGGCAAAGTCAATAATTTTTGAAGTAAAATGCATGGGGGTATTTTAAGAATAACTTTATTAAGGTTGTACCGCTTGTATATACATTACTGAATTATTTGCAAGTTGGGAGTGGAATTGCAAGTTGAGCAAGCGAATGTAAAGTTACTCGGAATTTTTTACGACTGTATAAAATGACAAGATTTAAAAGTTACTTGGTAAACTTCAGGTGTGCAGGTGTTACGCCTATTAAATAAATGCAAAAGAAGCTCAAAATGTGGGCTCTTCAATTAGAGCATCTTACTGTTAGGTAAAGCAAGAAGTTGAACCGGTCATTTTAAAACAATTACCAGTGGGTAGTTTGTTTCTGTGCTTGGTGGCGGGGATGCCCTCGACTCTTCGAATATTTGCATTCTCATTGGGAGCTTCACTTGTTTTCTATCAGTGTCACGGCTACTTTGGAACAGTGGTCTACGTATAGCCATCATGTAATGGTATTATATTTAGTGTGAAGGCATAAGCATGGAGCCCACTATCCAACATGGCGATTATCTGCTGGTAGAAAGGCTCTCCCTTTATAGAGGTCAAATCAAGAAGTTGGTTTACATTCACCTAATGTTGCCTTCAGTGGAGACATCGTTGTTGCAAGACAGCCTCGAGAGACCGGTACCTGCTGTCACATTCTCAAACGCGTCCGAGCAACCGGCGGTGAAGCTGTAGATTACTGGAATCCTAAGTTATCAAAATCTGTCACTACATATGTAAGACATTGTTCTTTTCACATCACATTTGGCAGACCTTAGCTCTTTTAATGGCTAATCATACGACCTGGTTCCGGCCTTCAGTTTAGTACCATTCCTGACTATTGTTAGTTTTTCTCTTGCACTGCACAAGGTCCCAGAGAAACACGTTTGGCTTGAAGGTGACAATAAGCGCCATTCCCTGGATTCTCGAACCTATGGGTCGGTCCCGATGAGGCACTTGGAATACCGTGTCTTCTGTCGCCTCTGGCCGCTCTCCTCCTTTGGTAGATTCGGCAAGGAAAGTCGCGCGAGGTGAAACATCGCACATCTTTGCACCAGAACTGAATGGTTAACCTGTTAGTCTCACGAATTTCTCCTGCCACCGCCATTCTTTTCCATACTTTTGTGGTAATACACTGCGGGCTACCAACGCGTGGAGCTTTCTGTCGTATGTCTGGTTCATCCTCCCACTGATTGATGTGGCCTCTATCATCAATTTTGTACTCAAAGCTTGGGACTGCCGATAGCTCCCACGCTGACCACCAACATTCTCAATGTGTCGTACCAGAAGCCCTGCTATGAGGAAAGTGAATTGACATTGTGGAGAAGTCGGATAGCAACAGTTCTGAGTCCTTGACCAAGGCAATGTAGCCCGGTAACAGATACAAATTAGAATCAAAGGCAGGAAGAAAGATTATTATTCCATTCACAGAAAAAGGGAAATTTCAAAGAGCGCAATGTATATACAGGGTTGGATCCGTGGGAACCGAGAAGATGGGATCTACGAGTGTCCCACGCGGTCTCGAGGAATAAGCCTCAGATTACCACCGTGCTTCAAGAAAACTTCACCTAAACCGATTAAAAGGCCAAGTGTGATTTAGTGTTTGCCGAGCATTCGTTCTCGTCGAGCATGCGTTGGTCAAGTTTCCCATAGGGTTAGGCTGCTGTATAACATTTCATTTGAGTGGAAATACAGATACCAAGCATTAATCGCGGAGGGTTCGCATTGTAAGGCATTACGACGGTTATTTCAGGCAACTTACCGGCATTTTGATTGGGGTTGATTCCTATTCCGTCATCAGTGATTATGGCGCTGGTTGCCGGCGGCACTTTGAACTGCAGATAACATAAACAGACTGCCTTCCATCTATTCTCTCAGTACCAATGAATTACATAGGAATGTAACAATAACGGAACTAATATTCTAGTGAGTTAATACGATGCGTGGCGGTTTATAACATGGCACCATTGTTTCCTAGAAGGGGGATGGAACGTCTTGTGTTTAGACGGCGGAGGAGTGACATGAATCGCAGGAACGTTGTGAAGTTAATACATAAAACCAGTGGATTCGCATAAAAGTAAGGCTATACAGGGCCCGATGTTCGAGGCGAACTAACTTATTGCACAAGCAGAACCAACTCCGGCAGAGGAGTTAGGCAGTGTATGTGTTGCGTAAACAAACCCACCTCTTCAGCGACAAATTTTAGCACTGCAGTAAATGGCGTCGAGTCAGGCACATCGAGGCTAAAGCGACCTATCATTTGAATAAGGCACATACATCTTGAACGGCAAGTTTGGGTCAGAAGTAAGAGTTATTTGAAACCGCACCTTTGACCTGAAAGTAGGAATATAAATAGTAGTCGCAAAATACCATGCACACAACGGAGTAGTAAACTCACATCACGTCCCGCTTACGCACACCAAACCGACACCGACACGTCAACGAGCAATGACCTTTGAATAACCTTCGAAGTTCTTTAAGCTTTCTAGAGGTAAACTTTCGCCTTCCATTTTAAGAGAAAACAGTAAAAGTTTGTCAATTAGTCAATTTGAAGATTAGAGAAGATTTAAATCTTAAATTTGGTTATGAGTTCTCGAAAGTCAACTACTATAGGTGGATGTTGGGGATGTTTACCAAATGCGTTTTATTTTTGGAAGTTATATTGCCTAAGAAGGGTAGGAGCTCTCAAAATCCCTAAATGACAAAAGGGTATACTTTTGAGATAAATACCATAGCGCCCTGAGACTTCCCCCAATATGGCAGTAGGTGAAGCTATATACATGTATTTAAAAGAGGACGAAGCAAATGGGCCTGAGCGCGGCCTAAGAGCCACTCCACGAGTAAAAGGGTTAAACAAATTCTAAAGTGGCCGCCAACTGTCAGAGAGTCGCACAAACAAAGCATTACAATGCGAGCCAAGCAAAAGACCAATTCCTTCTTATTCTCCCGCAATACACGCATCAAGTCCAACTTAATGCTACAGTTGTCACTTCAACCAACCCGACATCTCCCAATTTCGCTAAATGCATGCATTCCGTTTAAGTGCTACACCTGTGCTTATTCGTTAGGAGACCTCAATTTCCTCACTAACCGTCACCCTTTGGCACTCCGCGAATTTCCTTCGGGCATTAAGAGCATAAGACTGACTTCATACGCATTTTCAGGTATGAAGTTGTAGCGTCCCGAGACTTCAAATGGGGCAGTAGAAGGCATAAGTGAGGTTGAATACATGTACTCCAAGAACAATAGGAGAAATGGGGGCCTGAGCGTGACCCGAAGGCTAGCCCACGTGTACAGGGCCCAGACAAGTTCTCAAGTGACCCCCAGACGTCAGATAGTCACATAAACTAAGCATTACACTTCCCCTCTCTTCTTTTGAGCGACATCCTCGGCGCTCCCCTTTAATACACCTCATGCTCCAGCCATCACAACATATTCGGTACTACAAGAAAGCATCCACGAGCCAACCGCGCCAGTCGACAGACAACGCGAGAGCGAGGAACCGTACCTCATCTTCTCGGCAGCTTCGACTGGGTCTGGAGTTTCGTTCGGTCTGACAACCAGATTCGGGGACCCCTACATCTGTCGACCATCAATTGCCTACAGAAATAT